ACATACAAATTCCATCAATCTAAATCAATTTCTATCAAAATATCATAAAGTTTTAAGCTGGGAACAAAGAATTAATATATTATATGATATAATTAAAGGCTTGAGAGACATACATAAAGCAAATTTAACACACAACAATTTAAATCCTAATAATATATTAATATCTTATAATAATAATAATGGTGATGATGGTAATAATAATAGTAAAAGTAATACCAACAATAATATTAACAGTAATGTCAATAATGATGATGATGATGATAACAATAATATTAATAATAATAAAATAAAAGTTTATATAACGGATGCAGGGTTAAATAATTTCAATAAAGATCAACAACTATATGGTATACTGCCATATATTGCGCCTGAAATGTTATATGGTGACGAGAGTAGTAAATCATCTGATATCTATAGTATAGGAATAATAATGTGGCAAATATGTTTTGGAAGGGTACCTTTTAGTAATAGATTACATGATAATCAATTGGCAATTGATATTTGTAACGGTTTGAGACCTACAATTAATGCTAATATTAATAATATCAATACTAATAATAATAGCAATAATAATCTTAATAGCAGTAATAGTATTGGTAGTAGTAATAGTATTGGTAGTTATAATAGCAATAATAGTATACCTGATTGTTATATAAAGGTAATGGAAAGATGTTGGAATGCAAATATCAATAACAGATCAAATATTGACGAATTGTTTGAAATAGCATCAAGGTGGAAAGGTTACGACCTAATAATATCTGATTCTAATACTATCTCTATCGCTATCACTACAACTACAACCACATCTACAACCACATCTAAATGTACATATTACTTATGTATAATCAATCAGAAGCTAACAGAGACTTACATACAATAGACATTATTCTGTTCTTTCTATTCTATCGACCATGTTGTTGTCGGCAGCATTCATTTTGAACACTTTCCTGATCTTTTACACGACACACGGCCACACAGTCAGTGTATGTGTCCCATTGATAGATGACTTGATAAACAAACATTATTGTTTCTATATTTGCTTTTTGATATGAAAAAAGATTACTATTT